AATTTTTGCCTTATTTTAGAAAATAATGTTGAAAATGAGGCCTTCATGTCTTCACGAATTTCTATTGATTTTCCACTTCGTTCAGACACCGCGGTCTTAAGATTATTAAGCAGATCAGTTAACCCGTCTCTTAAGTGATCCTTTACCATGTCATAAATCTCCTTTCTACTATAAACTACTTGCTTACAGGAAGAGCCTGAAACAAAAAAATATATTGAATTTTTTACAATTTTGCATTTTAGGCCCTTTATTTTTAAAAACTTTTTGACTTATATTTATGAGTATTATATGCTAAAGAAGTTAATAATGTTATTTTAGAAACACACTGTACATTTTAAATTACTATTTTTTAGGGTGTTCCGAAGCAATTATTGCTAAGTGCTATTTTTACTCATACAATCTTTTTATTTTTGCTTTGCCATTTTTGAATAGGCAGTTATTGGCAGCTGTATTAGACAAAATTTGAAACATAATAAGTTAATCTGTAACCTCCATACCAAATCTGCCCGGCATATAGTGGTATGTGCTACTTTTCGACTCGATGAATTACTAAATTATTTAAAAAAGTGTATTTCTTGGATTACCAATTTTGTTTATTATTTATTCGGTCGCATTTAAATGTAATGTTTTGAAACACATAAAAATGAAATTACATACCTGATGGAGTTGGTTCCATAACGCCAAATTTTTATAAATTAACTCAAGTCCAAAATAATGCACTTTATATTACAACTAATTCACAATCTAAAATTCTCTGGACACTACCACTTTCGACAAACCCTAATCGGCAACTAAAATCTATGTACTAACAAGCAATTGTTAAGAAATTTCCCATCACTAAGAGGTAGCCTAAACACCTTTCTACCTGACCCACACATCCAAATTCTTAAAATTGGTTATTACATTTTTTCTATTTTGACCGGATTCTAGGAATTTGGAACCAGTGTTCATCGGCAGCAAATCCGATAAAAATTTTTTCGAAAGGGATATTGTGTTTTTTAAAAAAGTCATCGATTAATGTAAACAAGGCAGCCCCTGTAACTTCCCTAACTGTCAGAAGGGCTAGAAAGTAGTCCTTTACATTAAAATTAACCACAACTCGGGCAACTAGGTAAAAATGCTTCGAACAGGACCTATCTGTGGATTCATCTGCTATTAAACTACATTTATTTGTTCACAGTTTATCAATTGTAGTTTACCTTCATCGCCGGTGACATTTTTTATTACTTTAGTCATTTTTGTACGGATGCATTTAATAGCCTGGGCAATTTCAGAATCCGGGCAAATACTTTTCACTAACTTTGGAATATGTTCCATTAATCGTATAGGCAAGTTGTGTTCTGCTCTAAATCCATCAAGTCGCAGAACGCCTTCCCTTCCCTTTGAGATTTTTTGTTTGTTTTCCAAATATTGACAATACAGATGGTTGCGATTTAGCAGATGATACTGATTTCAAGTGCTTCCCGGTAGTGCTATGTTTTTTTAATTCTCCCTTTCCTCTCGCAATCAGTATATCGCAGCTGCAGTATTTACACCTATAATAATAGATACATTATTTTAAACTTACAAAATCAGGTAAAAATCTATCTTACCAGGCATAAACGGGACCCTTCTTACTTGGCTGGACTCACTTCCACTCATTTTCCCACTCTCTTTCATATTTCTGTTTATATTCCGCACTTTTTATTTTTTTCGTAGGTGTGCAAACGTCCTCTCTGTTTTCTGCACATCACTATCACTATCAGAGGTATTAGACATATTTACTGGGCAAATACAAAAATGTGCGAAATAATTAAGAAAATAGCACAGCGATTTAATTTCAGTCGGAATAAAATACTAAAACATCGCCGTCCTCGACTAAAACAATTACGAATGCGATTTGCTTCTGCTAAAAGTGTGGCTAAAGTAATATAAAAATTGTGGGAAGTACCCAGAACACACGCACACGAGAATAAATTGGCTCTATGGGGTTCCCAAAATTAATCAGCAGTGTCGACAACTTGATCGCGTGAAAACATCTGCATGACCATGAATATGATAAACAGAAGCAGGGGCGGAGTTGATATATAGTGATTTAATTTAATTATATTTAATTGAATGTTGAATGGTTTTGAAGTTGCAGATTTTTATTAAAAGTGACGATTTCTTTAGTAGAATTTAAAAATCGTGAGAATTGATTCGTGTAATCGTGTAAAAAGAACTGAAATCGTGTAATCTGGCAACACTGTCCATGTGTGCCAACAACTAAGTCTGAAAGTAACTAACTAACATATGTTTTTTATATAATACAATTAACATTTAAACACGTACTATTAACTTAAAACATAATCAGTTAAATGAGCAGGTTCTTTTAATACCCTCTTAGGTCTAGCTACTGTTTCGATTTCAATGTCAGTTTCTTGGTCTTTAGACATTACCTCACTTTTACGACCCCATTCGCTTTCTTCTACACACTCACTTTCTTCTACTACACTGTCACTTTCTTTTGCTATACTATTTCTAATATTACAATCTTTAACAACACTTTCCTTTCTACCTTCGTTATTATTAATACAACTATTATCCATAGTTTGAGTGATTGAATCAGATTTTATATTTTTAAAATAATAAGGTACAAAGATAAGATGCCAACGATTTCGTCTGTATTGACCACTATCGGTTTCAACTATATATGATCGTGGCTCTGAACAAATTCGAACTATTTTCCCATACTTTCTGATGTCGATCACCCAAACTGAATCACCTATATTTAAAGGATTCATATCCTTGGTTCTGTGTCTGGCATTGTAATGTTGAGCCTGATTGTCTTTTATTTCATTTTGTTTTTTTGAGATATATGGCAAGGGATCAATGACCTTTGTTAAATTACTAGGTAGTTGGGGAAGAATGGTACGCAATTTTCTAGAAAATAACAATTCAGACGGTGAGAAACCTGAATCTAAGGGGGTTATGCGATAAGCTAACAGGGCTGAGTGAATGTCATATTTATTCTTTACTAATAAATGTTTTGCTGTCTGCACCGTTCTCTCTACTAACCCATTACTTTGGGCGAAGTATGGACTACTTGTTACATGACTAAAGTTATATTCTTCAGCAAAGTTTTTAAATTTTGCTGAAAATTGGGGCCCATTATCTGTTCGCACTATCTCAGGAATTCCTAGCCTGCTAAAAAGTTCCTTTAATATCAAAATGATGGCTTCTTTATTCATATTTTTCGACTCAAAAATTTCAAAATACCTTGAGAAATAATCTACTACTATCGGTCGTATTCACCATTCTTCTGTTAATCATTAACAGGTTGTCAAGTATGTAACAGACTGTTAAAATTCAGATTTGTTATGCACCATATCAAAAAATAATTAACAATCTGTTAAATACTTTGTTAAGTTATCAGTCCAAAAACGGCCTGTTATGTAAGTTAACAAGCTGTGTCAATCAAGCTTTTGTTATCATTATTCACATTACAAATATTATGGACAGAATAAATTTTAATTTATTATCTTCATCTTCATCATCATCATCAGAGAGCGAAAATGAAATTCCCAGAATAAGGGTAGTAGTAAGAAAAAATCCAATTGACGATTTAAATGACGTTGAATTCAAGAAGAGATTTCGTTTAAATAAGAACACAGTAAGAACTTTAGCAAATTTGTTACAAGATATTGACGAGCCAGTGAATAATAGAAACCCACCAATAGCAAAAATAAACCAAATTTTAATAGCGCTAAGATTTTATGCCACTGGATCTTTTCAATCAAGTATTGGTGATATTTTTTCAGTTTCGCAATCGACTGTCTCACGCATTGTTCAAACAATTACAAGAAGCATAGCTAGCCTTCGCCCCTGAGTTTATTAGGATGCCAGACACAGATGATGAAAAAAGAGAAATTGTTTCATCTTTTTACGGTATAGCTGGATTGCATGGAGTTGTAGGGACCATAGACTGCACTCATGTCAAAATTTTGTCCCCAGGAGGTAACAATGCAGAAGTCTTCAGAAATAGGAAAGGCTGGTTCAGTATCAATGCCCAAGTAGTTGGTAACGCTAACTTAGAAATTTTAGATGTGATTGCTCGATGGTTAGGCTCTGTTCATGACACAACAATTTTTGATGACTCCTTAATAAGGGCACGCTTTGAAAATAATGAATTTTATCCTTATATCCTTATTGGAGATGGCGGATATCCGTGTAGAGTATATTTAATAACACCCATAAATCCTCAAACAGGAGCCCAGGAGCGTTATAACAGAGCGCACATCACAACTAGAAATACGATTGAAAGATTATTCGGAATATGGAAAAAAAGATTTCCATGCTTATCATTAGGGCTTAGAATAAACATACAGCGAGCTTGTGAAGTAGTAACAGCAACTGCTGTTTTACATAATCTGTGCAAAAGAGAAAACGACCTTCTAGAAGACTTACTTGGAGCAGATTTAGACATTGACGATTTGGTAGTTCATTATGATCCTCCACTACATGAAAATACTTCAACAAGGGACACTTTGATAAATAATATTTTTGTGTAGATCTACACTTTTTTAAATAGAAATCTGTTTGATAAGACTGCATTTTTTTTTTACTTTTTTATTCATATATTAGGGTTTAGTTGTTTGAAATGTCATGGCAGCTTTTAACACATTCAAATCTAGCATTAAAATGTACATACCTATTAATTATTGCACAAATAAAAAAAAATGTTATATATTTTTTTATTATACAAACAAAACCTAAACACTTTTAAGCACGAATACAAAAATAAATTTTCAAACAAAACACTTTAATACTAAAAAACAAACTTAGGAAACTTTTATATCACAATAAAAAATATTAACATACATAAAAATAAGAGAAGAATGGTAAAAATCATTCCAAAAGAAGTGTTTGTTTTATCCTTAGTTCAATTTTTTCTCTTTCCTTTATTATTTCCTTAATATCATGATCAAGTTTTTTTCCCTTTAATGTTTCTCTTTCAGACTGTTCTGTTAGTTCTAAGATAGTCATCTTTTTTTTAATATTTCTAGTTTTTTATTATTTAAGAGAACTGCAGCTGGGAGTTTCCGTTTATTTCCACTTGTTATGTTTCTTTTAGTGCCTTCCTCAAGATCTGGATTATTTACCAAATTAATATTATTTTCGCATTCCTCAGTGCTTGTAATGGGTGCTTGGCTAATTTTAGTACTACTTTTCTTTGCCCTTTTCTTGGGTGGCTCATCTATTGTGGATATTTCTTCATTATTTTCTACAACAAAAATAATTTCTTCTTCGGGTTGGCTGGTGCTTTGTCGCGGCTCTGTATCCAAATTGTTACTGTCGAACTCATTCTCTATAGAAAAAAAAAATATCTTCTATCAGCTCTAGAACTTTATTCTCCAGATTTGTGAGTTTGGGAACAAATATTCCTCCTCCAGTTTTCTGCATTTCAACCTTAAAATAATATTCAATTACTCACTATATTTAATAAATTAATTAAATGTATACCTTCTCCTGAGCCTTATGCTGTTTCGCATGTTTTTTTAATTGCTCATATGCAGTTTTCAATTGCAATCCACTTCGAAATCCGGTTGTTTGATTGGCATTATATTCCCAAGCCAACTTCTCCCAACATTGCAATTTTTCTTTGTTGAAAACTGCATTCAATTATTTTTAAGTTTTGTTTTACTAGAGAAAGTAAAAGCTCTTTCTCCCTCTCTGTGTAATTTGCAGATCTTTTTTTTCCATTTTAAAGGTTTTTAACTTTCACGACAAAACACTGTTTTTAAATATAACCTTATTTTTATTTAATATTAAATAAAAGTGAAGTTAGGTAAAAATAGTAGCCAACCTAATTTCCTAGTGACTTTTCGATATCAAACTGTCAGTAGACTGACAGACTAAAATGGATAGTGCATTACAAATATCACTAACAAGCTGTTAGCAATTAACAAACTGTTAGTTAACTATAAATTTAACTGAACAATGGTGAATACGACCGTAAGAGGTACCATTTGTCTAACTTAAAAAAATCGACTGCAATTTTTGCCCAAGATCTCAATGGAATTTTTCTTTCACGTTTACTCTGTTTTCTGCACATTCTGGACAATTACGGATAAGATTATCAATCTGAGACGATAGTCCCATCCACCAAACACTGGATTTAGCTCGTTCCCTACACTTTACCACCCCTAAGTGCCCTGTATGAATATAATTCAGACATCGTAACTGTAGTGTCTTAGGTATAATCATTCGGGAATTTTTTGAAAGCATATTTTCATTAAAAGATGTCATATCTGTGTTGATTAAATGGCATTCATTCAATGGGCATTTTAGATTTTTCAGGCCATTGAGTTAAACATAATTTTTTTAGGCCAGGGTCATTACCTTGTTCCTGAATGATTTGTGATAAAAAATAGTCTTTAATTGGAAGATTTTTTATAATGGAATAAATGTACTTATCTACCTCTTTATCTGTTAGTTCATCATTTTCATGCACTGAATTTGTTTGTGGGCCTCTACTTAGAGCATCGGGGATGACTAAGTTTTTCCCTGGGGTGTAAATAACTTGATATCTATACCTCATTAATCGCATCCGGAATCGTTGTAGTCTAGGTGACAAATCATCTATATTTTTAGTTTGCAATATTTGAAGGAGAGGCTTATGGTTCGTTTCGAATATTAGATTTTTAATTCCTGTAATATAATCGGAAAATTTTTCAGCTGCCCATGTTAGAGCTAATGTTTCCTTTTCGATTTGTGCATATCTACCTTCCACTTGTGTTAATAACTTGGAAGAGAAAGCTACGGTTTCCCCTAGTCTTATCCTCCCCTTCTTGCATTAAACATGCACCTAGACCATATGAACTTGAATCTGCACTAACAATTATAGTTTTGTTAGCATCAAAGAAAGATAGACATGGAGAGTTTTCCAATAGTTTCTTAATGGTTTTGAAAGCATTTTCTTGCAAAGAGGACCACTGAAATTCTACACCCTTTTTCAAGAGCGTGGTTAAAGGTTCTAATATTTCTGACTTATTACTTACATATTTTCCTGCAAAGTTTATCATACCTAAAACTCTCAACAACTCTGTTTTATTCTGTGGACTTGGAAAATCTCGAATAGCATTCATCCTATCGGGGTCTATTGCTATACCCTCGTCTGAAATTATATGCCCCAAATATTTTACCTTTGTGGCCCCTATTACACATTTTTTTTCATTTAGAGTAATACCTTCAGAGTGTAGCTTAGTTAAAACGTTTTCTAATATTTTGTCATGATTCTCCATCGAACTAGCATGTATAAGAATATCATCCATGTGATATAATATGCCTTCTAAGCCAGTCAAAATTTTTGAAAATTTAAGTGCAAAATATTCAGGAGTAACAGGAAAGACCAAAAGGAAGACGTTTGAAATAATACCTGCCAAAAGGTGTTATAAAGGTTGTTAATAGCTGGCTTTCCTTATTTAATTTTATTTGGTAAAACCCACTAGTTGCATCTAGCTTTGAAAAAAATTTTGAACCGCCTACTTGAGATAAAGTGTGTTCTATTTTTGGTAAATGGAAATGAGCTCTTAAAACACTCTGATTTAATCTAGTATAATCGCAACACAAACGAACTGAGTCCCCCCTATCTACACAAACTATAGGACTTACCCATTTTGTTGGTATATCTATAGGTTCTATAATTTCTAGTCTCAACAAACGATCCAACTCAGCCTTTAATTTAGTTATAAGGGGCAAAGGTACTGTTCTAGGTACTGATTGCACAAATGGCTTGGCTTCTGGAGCCACCTGTATTGTTATTTCAGATGAATTTTCACCCACATCATCAAAAATACCCTGAAACCTTGCAGCAATTTTTTGTTTATTGAATTTACTTTGTATGTTTAGTGAGTGATTATTTCTAATACTTATGCTGTTTAACCCCCGCTTACTAATTGATTCTGGTATATCTAGAACTTTTAAATTTACAATACCAGACCTTCCAAGAATAGGAACCTTCAAATCTTTAATGATATACACAGTGTTTACATAATCATTTTGCTTATATCTCAAACAAAGTTTAATTTTACCTAAAACAGTTAAATTGGTGTTATCAGCTCCACCTATTTGTTCTTTGCAACTCAAAATTTGTTTTAAATAATTGGGAGGCAAATGTTTATCTGTTGGTCTGTAATTGGTTATATCTCTTTTATCCCCCTTTTTGAAAACTGGACATACTTTTGAGGTCTTCCAAATATCTGGAACTGTTGATGTCCTGAGGCATATATTTATGAGGGTGGCTAACGGAGGAGCAAGTTGAAAGGCACAATCCTTTAAAATAAAAGCTGGAATATGGTCTGGACCAGTTGTCTTTTTAGGTTTAATATACTTTAGAGCTTCATATACCTCTTTTTCGGTAAAACAATTGACATTAAGGAACGGAACATTGAGTCGTGAATTTAAATTAGCAATAAACGGGCTAGAGGTAATATATAACTGTTTGAAGAAGTCAGCAAATCCATTGATAATATCTAATGGAGTTTTTAGTGATTTGCTGTCATAAGACATTATTTGAGGGGATTTGGGTTGTGATTTCTTACTATTTATAAATGCCCAAAATTTACTTGGATTACTAGATATCTCTTGTTCAGTCTTTTTAATATATGCTCTGTAAGAAATGTCTATTTCTAATTTTAAAGCAGCTCTTATGCGTTTGAAGTCTTCAAAGGCTTCTATTATTTTCTCGTTTGTATTTTTTCCACATACTAGTTTTAACGCGTAACTGATTGATTATTTCTCTATTAAACCACGCTGGATGTTTGTTTTGATGCTTGCAGGAATATTTGGGACAACATTTATCAAGAATATTATATAACTTTCCATAAAACTATGTACAAGCGTCTTCTGCATTATTAAAGGCTTCTAAAAATGTCCAGTCAATACTGTAAATTAAATTGTACATTAGTGGAAAATTGGCTTTTTTGAAATTATAACAGTTTTCAAAGTACGATTCCAGATTGTTTTTACGGTTAGTTTTTACTTCCAAGTAACAAGTGATGTCCAGAGCAGGATGATGTTTATCTTCCACTACAAATGGATCGAGCGATTTTTCTACCAGACATTTATCATTAAAGAAGACTAGATCTAATAGCCTATTATTATCATCATTAAAGATAAAGTTAGACTGAGATAAATTAAAAAGTTGGGAGAAGTCATTGATTATTGAAATTTGTTTGTTACTTTTGCCGTTACTAAGATATTCCGCATATTTGCTGATATTAAAATCACCGATAACTAACAAGAAACTGTTATACAATAAATTTAAGGAACACAAAGCTTAAAAAAAATGTTCAAATTCAGTATGGGGCGTTTGTTGTGGTGGAATATATATATTTATTAAAAACAAATGATGAGATGACATGGTTATTTTTACTAGAACTATATCAACATATAGAAATGTAGGAAAAGAATATTCATTTAAATTACTTGTTCAGAAATAATATCATCAGGTACTCCAATTACTACACCGCCACCTCTAGTCAAAGAGTTTTGCAAAAATTCCGATCCACCCTGTATATACAAAAATTAGTTGGAAATAATTTTGAATTATTAACTAATGAGTCAAGCCAAGTTTCAGTTATCACAAAAACCATCGCTTTGAGCTATTGAATTAAATATCAAATTAAAAGATCAAACGAACTTACCTTAAGTGAAGTTCGATCTTAATTATATGTAGGTCTCATCGAAATAAATAATAGAACAAATGTAGTACCCCCGGTATGTATGGAATCACACAATATTCAAAGCTTTACGAAAAAAAACCCTGTTATCGCCTTTCACCTGCGGGCCTCTGCCAGCTATTATTGTCATTTCTTTAAAGCTGTTTGTTGCATCGAAAAGGGAATATTCTTAAGGTTATAGTTTGGGCAGGGAGGGTGTTATTTATTTCGATGAGACCTACATATAATTAAGATCGAACTTCACTTAAGGTAAGTTCGTTTGATCTTTTAATTATATTTCGGTCTCATCTCATAAATAATAGAACAAATGTAGTTGTTTAAAGTTTATTAACGATGCAACAAAATGAGTAACTATATTTCCATAATTTATGGTAAATGAGAACAAAAATAATATAATAGACTTATACTAACATGAATAATAATACACAATATAACAATTTTTTCTTTTTACTCAGTAAAAATTGCATGTAAAAAGTTGTTGGTAGGTTTTAATGGTCTCTGATAAAAATTTGCAAAGGTTTTTGAGTTATCGGACCAGCCCGCTGTCAATCTTATTACATCCATATTCACCCCTTTTCTGGCCGCCGCAGAGGTAGAAGCGTGTCTTGTACTATGAGGGGAAAAT